GTCCCCTTTTAGCCAAAACTTTCTGAAAGAGTTGCCTGTATTCACCATCGCCAATTCCCTTTCTCCATTTCTCATTTTCTTCTTGATGGATATGCAGCAATGTCTTTGTTTACTCTCCTAGTTACAGACTCCTGGGCTATTTTCGTGTTTTAAACTTTTATTAAAGTGCTGTCCAGAACATGCATGTCTCCTGTGTTCCCCTAGAGCAAACACTCCTACGAGCAGAACTGCTGGGTAGAAGCTCACTCTTCCAGTCCATGGAAACTGGCAATCCTATCAATGGCAATCCGTTCTCAGTCCTGCTCTTATTGGACATAACAGCAGCATGCACCACTTCCTCCACACGAGACTTTGACTCAGCATCCAGGATAACCAGAGCTCTACCTCAGCAGCAGGTCCCGCTCGCGCTCTTTGCTGACTCCCGTTCTTGTGTTTTCATCAGCGCTTGCTCCCCTAACGAGTTCATGCAGTCTTGAGGCTTTGAATACCACGATATACTGATGATTCTCAAATTCATACATTCTGCTGATTCTGAACTCTAAACTCATAGGACTCACTTTTTATTCAAACTCTCCACTTAGATACCTGAAAGAAATATCAAACTCAACCCATCCACAGTAGTATTTCTGGTCCTCCTCTCACACAAGCAGCACCTGTAGCTTGTCCCTCCAGCCTGATGGCAACTCCACCCCACCTGACTGACTCTCAGGATAAATACTGCAAAGTATCCAGGATCCTTTCTCTTCCTCTCCACATCAAAAAACAAAAAAATCCGTGCTGGTTCAGTGTAGAATCCAATAGCTTCTCAGTCCTCAGACAGAACCATGATCATCTCTTGCATTTATTAACGACAGAAGATCAAAGAACTGCTCCCATCCTCAAGGATGCCCTATAATGTTAAACTGTTAACACTTACAGAGGTTCTAACCAATACTGTTAAATGTGAAACAAAAATAACAGAAACAGATGAGTTATTTTCACTTAAAAATAAGAAGAGCAGTTAAGAGCACTGACTGCTCTTGCAGAGGACCCAGGTTCAATTCCCAGCACCCACATGGTGGCTACAAACCATCCTTCACTCCAGTTCCAGGGGAATCCGAAGCCCTCTTCTCACCTCCATGGCATTGCACGACATGGGTGTGCTCACATACATGCAGGCAGTACACTCACACTCATACACATAAAATAAAAATAATACAAGAATTTTAAAAACATGTTTATTTTGTGGGGGCGGGGCTGGATGTCCACATACATGCAGACAATACACTCATACACATAAAATAAAAATAATAAAATATTTTTAAAAAATAAGAACATTAGATAGCCATGTGATTTATGATAACTATATTATGAACTCCTGGCTGCTGAGTATGGTGGTTCATCCCTGTAATCTCAGTACTCAGAAGCTGAGGTAGGAGGACTGTTGGGAGTTTGAGGCCAGCCTGGGCTACATAATGAGTTCCAGGTCAGCCTGAACTACAGAGTGAGAGACCCTGCCTCAAAAACCAAAACAAAGTCAGTTAGAAAATATAATAGAAAGAAAACATTACATTTGCAGTAGCAATAAAAAAAGGCAGTACAATACATAACAAGAGGAACCAAGTAGGCCCGTATGTTAGTAACACAAAAGAGGACATATTTTTATGGTACAAAATTGAGCATAAAACCTGTCCAAGTGATTCCAGCACTTGGGAGGCTGAGGTGAAAAGACTGTCATAATTCAAAGGCCAACTAGGGCTAAGGAGTAAGATTCTATCTCAAAAGAAGGTAGGCAGGGGCTAAAGAGATGGCTTGGTGGTTAAGAGCACTGGCTGCTCTTGCAGAAGACCCGAGTTTGGTTCCCAGCATCCACATGGCAGTTAACAACCATCCATAACTCTAGTTCCAGGAAACTGATGTCCTCTTATGACTTCTGTGGACATTGGACACACGCTGTACTTACACGCAGGCAAAACATTCATAGACATAAAAAAAAACAATTAAAAGAAACTAAAAAGGAATACACAAAGACCTATAAGGAATAGATCTCTCATATGCATATATAAACACATAATAGATTCACACTAATGAGGCAAAAACTTAAAAGCAATCACACCAAAATAGTGACAATCATTATCCTTGAATTTTAGGATAAAGGGAAATACTGATTTTCTTCTTTGTAGGATATTTTCCAGATCTTCTACCACTATCATGTAAAACCTTTAGTATTTTCTGTGAGGTATAATTTAAATCACAATGCCACTTTGAAGTGTGTATAATGCATGAAAGTGCCTCTGAACTTGGCCTCAAAGCACTAAGCGCAGTAAGTTAAGTCTCTTTAACCAGACCAGCAGACCAGAAAACCAGCAGACTAAGCATCTCAGCCATTTTTCAAACCGAATGTGATTACTGTTCCAGGTGATGGGTTTTAAGGGGCTTTTTAATTCAATCTGTGATTACAGTTAGGCCTCCATAACAATCAACTTAATTCTACCATTATGCAAATTGCTGCCTCACGGAAAGGAACCCTGGTGGAGAGAGAAAAAAGCCCTGTGAGCAAGAACACTCAGGAAATAGAATGTTTTGGTTAAATTAATGTGCTATTTAACAACAATTTTAGAGTGAGGCATGGTGTCCCAAGCATGTAATCCCATCACTTGGGAGGTAGAAGCAAGACAATCAGGAATCCAAGGTCATAGCCAGCCTGGGCTACGTGAGACTGAAGAAGAAAGAAACAGAAAGAAAGAGAAAGAAAGAAAGAAAGAAAGAAAGAAAGAAAGAAAGAAAGAAAGAAAGAAAGAAAGAAAGAAAGAAAGAAAGAAAGAAAGAAAGAAAGAAAGAAAGAAAGAAAGAAAGAAAGAAAGAAAGAAAGAAAGAAAGAAAGAAAGAAAGAAAGAAAGAAAGAAAGAAAGAAAGAAAGAAAGAAAGAAAAGGAAGGAAGGAAGGAAGGAAGGAAGGAAGGAAGGAAGCCCTTTGATTCAAGCCTGTGCATTCACTGACCAGCATGGCCAACCCTATTACTGACATTTGGAGGCTTTAAAGGTCCAGGACAGCAGGAGGGCACAGTGCCTTAGACGCCTTCAAACATCCACTTCATCTCAAAACTAGGAAAGGACAGGACTGAATGAGGTCTCTAGGAAGTCAGATGGTGTCTGCTACTGAGAAGTGACATAACGGCGTGAATATTGCTGCTCTTAGTTCTACGTTCTAATAAAGTAGTCTAATGAAAGTCAGAGGATTGGAGGTTTTAACAGGTCTTTTTTGAGAAAACAGAAGACATTTTAAAGCACTATAACACTAACATAGCTCAATAAAGGAACTCATAAAAAATAATTTAGGACTAAGGGGAAGAATGCTCGAGTATTGGGCATGCTTCCACGAGGTCTTATGACCTTACTATCACATTCTGCTAAAAAGAATCTGAGACACTATTTTTAATGCATTTAGCAGACTGAATTCTTCACATGAAGTCATATGAACCCTGTGGCAAGACAGGAGAAAACAACAAAATCCTACCATGTAACTAGTATTCCACTTTCGACTAATTCTAATTTAGTCATACATTAGCACATTCTTAAGATAAGCATATCTAAATAGGAGTTGAAAAACAAAATGGATTTCCCCACTCCAAAAACGGGTATGTGATTTGGGGGCTACCACTGTTTGAGAAATCTAGAGCCTTCACTTTCTTACAAGTTCAAATTAATTTCAAAATCAAATTTTAATTTCGCCAATAAATAAGTCATTTTTTTTTCTAAAAGGGGAATGGAGCGTATCAGTTTCAGACTCTGCAGTACATACTCTCAATAATCTGTCCTTATCACTTAACAGTCAATACCATGCCTGAACCCTAGTAAGCAGCTATACTGTGCCAGTCTCCGTATGCGTGCGTAAAGGTACTGGTTTATATCTAAAATCTTCTTAACACAAAGAAAAGTAATTTAAAGCTCTGTGTGGTAGCAGTCCCAGCACTTGGGAAGCTGAGGCAGGAGGATTGCTATAAGTTCACATCTACCCTGGACTACACAGTGAGTACCAGACCAGACAGGGATACATAGCAAGACAGAGTCTCAAAAAAACTTGAAGAACCCTGGCAGGGTGGTGCACACCTTTGATCCCAGCACTCAGGAGGCAGAGACAGGTGGATCTCTGTGAGATGGAGGCCAGCCTGGTCTACATAGCAAGTTCCAGGCAGTTGTGGCTACAGAAGACCCTGTTGCAAAAAAAAAAAAAAAAAAAAATTAAGAAAAGAATAAAAGAAGTCAAATTCAACTCCATACTTGGCTTTCATTCTGCATGAACTAAGAAATCAAAAGAGACAGGAGCGGATTCTCCTACATTATCTTCTCCCCCATTTGTTCTTAAGGACTACTAATAGCACTTCAAGGCAGCATTATTTTCACAGGTAGATCAAAAAGAATCTTTCACATCCTTGCCTTCTTTGACCAGTTTCTAAAAGCTACTTGTCAAGGCATGAAAGCACAGCCAGATTCAGACGCTGCCCACTGCCGATGCTGCCAAAGCGTAGTGAAGGTCAGCAGGTCTGCTCCTATGGCTTACACTCTTCCTTGACAGCATCCAGAATTTCCATCGGGGCTGTCTAGCATGCTCAGCAAGAAAAGAATAGGCGTGTGATTCCCAACAGGTTGTTCCATTTACTTTAGAGCAAAATCAGGACACATTTTTGTAGTTCCACATTCAGTCTACACCTTTCAGATTATATGAATCCCACATTCACAGACAGTACCAAAAAGCAAATTACAGTAATAACAATAATCATCTATTCTCTCTTCTGCCCTGAAAGTTTTCGCTAAAGTCCAAATGACATTTTCCCATTACCGTCTCATTCATTTCTACTCTCTCTCCTTCCTTGAGAGATTGTGCATGTGAGTTAATTACCCTGGTTCCAGCTGAAGCTGATGAGAACACGGGCCATTTTATTTCACAATGTCTTTCGAGTTATTAATGAGCAGACAAGAACCTCTCCTTCACGTGGAAGCTAAGTGCCCTCAAAAACTTACATCTTTTCCCAGTACTCTGAGTTCAAATTGAGTTTCCTTGAAATGCACCTTTGTAATCCGAGGCCTGAAAGACAAAAGCAGATTGGTGTTGTGGTTGCCATTTTTAGGAATTAGTTTTTCAGAACATCAGAGAAGTCTCCAGCAGGCCATGACTGAGGACAGTCCTTTACCTGCTGTGGCGGCAAGCTTCGGAGACTCCCTGTATGCCGTTTGCTCTGGGCCCCTCGGGTCTCACTGCCCTATGCTTGTCCACTAACTGCACAGACAAACTTGAAATCCTTAGGTCCTGATGGTACCACATTCCCAATACACAAAGAGTCATGGGTCGCCAAGCCCTCCATTTCTTCTCCCACCAAAGATAAAACTCGAAGCAGTCCTGGTGCCACAGTCCACTGGCACACACAGGAATGGGTGGGAATCCCACTGCACGGTTTCTATGGACAAGAGAGTCCAGAGCCACCACAATGGAAAGTTACTGAGAAAATATATACTGAGGTGCAACTGAAAACAAATTCTCAACCAATTTCACCCACTTGTTTACTCACTACAGAAAAAGTACCTGTCCTTTTCCCCAAACCCAGTCACTGTCACACAAACCCCATAAGCCCAATACATACAGTACAGAACTTTAATATTAACCATTCCCAAGTTATACCTACCAGAAATACTTTCCCACTTGCTTTTTATTCTTATAGACAACAACACCAACTGGAGTTAATCCTAAGAAATACTCAGACTTGTTTTCTCCCTGAAAAAAAAATATGCCTAAAACAATTAATGTATTATTTAACAATTATTTGTTATTATTACATTGATAATTATTGGGTAAAATACATAAAAGTTCTTGATAAAACTATAACTGGTCACACAAATATACTTCTTTGGATATTGGATTTAGTGTTTGAAAGACATCAAAAAACCAACTAAACAGTGATAGTAGCTAATTTGATGCTCTTTTTTTTCCCCTCTAATTCTTAGGGTCAATTTATACTTGTAACTTCAGTTCATTCAAAGAAACTGCACTATCAATCAGGCTACTGACTGACTTGCCCAGTGTCATTTATCAGTGGTGCTCAATCCTAGCTGGAATCACCAGGCAGGTTAATATACTGATGACTAAGAGCCACCAAAAGCAGTTAAATCAGAATCTCCGGGGAAAGAGCCATAGTACCAGAACACACAGGCGCTCCAAGAAATTCTCCTGTAGCCATAACTTGAAAACCACTGGCTTCTATCAAAGACGCTTTCAAATGGTTTGGTTTGTCTTGATTTTTGTCTCTGATGTGGATAATGCTGGGGCCCAGTTTACCTGTACCACAAGCCTCGTAAGAAAGTTTAGGCAGCTGCCAGCAGACGTGCACTTGAGACCTCTGAGGTCTATCAGTTCCTTCCTACCACCACTCGTAACTTTTAAGCTCAAAACTTTACAAGTACTATCTCCTCATAAAGCCTGGAAAACCTTTGTTTCCAGGCAATGACAAATCTCAGTTATAAAAATGGGATACTGAAATGATAGAGCCACAAAGAGAGTGGACACCAAGAACGTGCACAGAACTGTCTGTCTGTCTGCTGAGTGGCCTGAAAGGTTTTAGTTACAGGAACAGATGATAACTAAGATGTTCTGGAAGAGTACCAGTTGTTACCCACTTTCGGCTCTAGAAATTCAATCTTAGAGGAATGTATGGAAGACCTAATGAATCTAGGTCATTTCCCATAAATTCCACCACCAAAAAAACAAGCAAAACTTGATTATGAATTAAGATAAACATTACAGAAGCAGAAGCATTTTGCATACGACTAGAACTTTCCAAGAGGATATATTTGTTTTTAAACTTGAAAACTTACCAACATTAACATGGCCAGTCAGGGAAAATATAATGACTTCATGAAATTTTAAAGATATTTATCTTTCTTTCTTCCCTTTCTCCCTCCCTCCCCCCTCTTTTCTTCCCTTCCTTCTTTCCTTCCTTTCTTCCTTCATTCTTACTGTAGAGCCCAGGCTGGCCTCAAACCTGAGATTCTCCTGCCTCTACCTAGGGTTATAGTGCTAGGATTACAGTCTACGCTATCAGATCTTGGAGTTATTCTTAAAGGGTAGTAATACTATAAAGCATTTCATTCTCTAATGAGATTGGAATCAAATACATCAGGAAACCACTAGATCCCCCAGTGTGTAACTTACACTGACACATTGAATGTGTACTCAAGGATGCTTCTAACACTAAAGATATGATAAGCCAGAGATGTTGGTACATTCCTGTAATCCCAGTACTCAGGAGGCAAAGGTAAGAGAAGTTCAGGTCAGTCTGGGCTACAAAGTGACACCCTGAATGACTGACTGAATGAGTAAGAGGCATGGTTTCTTGTCTCAGAAAACACTAATGAGCTAAAAATATGTTATAAAATGAGTGAAGTTATTTGCACTATGTATACTAAGTTCTATCAGGGTTCCTTAAATGTTGAGTTCTTAGCTCCAAGGCACAAAAAGTCACTCTCTATGCATACCCTTCCTAATAATTTGACTCCCATAAAGAATAAGGTACTTCCACATTTTCTCAAATAATCAAATGTAACTGTTGCTAAATGCACTCATGCAAAATCAAAGGCAATGACAATCTTGCTGCCATAGAATAATCAACTAGTAGTTAAAGGGAAATGTCTGAGGAGATAGGGCCTACATCTAGAACACTCCATAAAGATCTGATATAACTGTTTGCTGACAATAGTGGGCAAGTTTTCATCAGCTACTGAAAAAAATTGGCAAAAATATTTCTATCCATGCCATGACACCAGCAGTAGGGCAGTAACCCTCCTATTGACAGAATTTGACTGTTCAGCCTAGACTCACCAACCACACCTGGACTGTTGCCCAACGCCTGCTTTACCTGGCAAAGAACTCTACTTATGTTTTCAGTCTTAAAAATCTATTTTTGGGAAAATCTTCCTGTTCTCTAATACGATCAATTATAGACCAATTTTAAATTGTTTTGACATTTAGCTAAGCCCTTTGGAACTGTTATCCAGATTGTATTTTCAAGCTCAGTTAATTGTTTTCTACACATGGAAATATAATCACAGACTTTTATGCAAAACTCATTAGGGTTTAATCCATGCAAGAGCTGCTTTGAGTTTGAAAACCATGGATAAAGCAAGCATCATCTGCTTGCTGAACAAGAGGGTCTCAGCTCTCCTTGAGGAGTTGATATGACTTTTAAAGAAAAATGTCAATAGCTTAAAATATTTTGTGTTAATTAAATGTGACTCACATAGACAGGATGGAGGTCGACACCATACATCTCCAGGGATTTGGCAGTCCTCAAGTAATTGAGCTCAGCTTCAGAAGGAGCCTGACCCCTACACCCAGCATAAAAACAAAGAGCCTTATTTTACTAACAGCAATTCCTCTACAGGAGAAGTACACCACCTTCATTACATTGGCTGGAAAAATAGGTGATGTTTTGCACGAATGCAAATATAAGGCTTTCATAGAGACAAAGTTGTATACTCTGAGGTAATATTTATATTAAGTTAATTTCATTTACCAAATCTATTCCTGTTCATTATAGTCTAGCCCCCAGTTCCCAGTATGTATTAAAATTTTTCAGTTTCAAAAGCTCCCAAAGAGGATATTGAGAATATAAGTACTCAAATTAAAAAGCATCCACTTCACAAAGAGCAAAATGTCTCCATGCACCAGCAGCTCTGCATCAGAAGCAAAAGGAGCTGGCGCCACAGAGAAGGGGAAGGAGGGGAAGGGCCCCCACCCAGCGGGGGTCACATCAGCAGCTCCTGGAGCACAGGTGTGGTTTGGAAATACATAGTTAACATATACAAATTGTAAAAGTGCTTGTCATTTTCATAATTGAACACAGAAATCTCCCCCAAAGCCTTCACTGGTGGTGATACACAGAAAACACCATTTGCTCTTAATGAAGGCGAGCATCTGCCAGGAATCTCTGTGGATGAATTGAGAGTGTGTGGAGTGGGGGTGGAGGGTGGCTAACAAAAGATAAAAGCAGCTATGAATTTCTAGAAATTGAGAAGCCCTCTTTGCTGCATTCTACCACTTCAGCCATTGTGCACTGAAAATCACTAAAATTAACAATAAAACATATAGACAAAAGCCTGGAAGAATATTCATCATACAAGAAAGTTATCAAACTTCAATCGTGCTTTATTCCTAGAAAGAAAAACTGGCCTAAGTGTGCACACTAGCACATAAAACATGTATGAGCCTTTAACCAAAGCTCCAAGATAATTTCAAAATACAACTGTACTTTAAAGTCCTAGCAGAATTAGTATTCTCAGACCGTGACACCGCCGCGCTGCCCTTTATAATGTTATAACAAGCACTCTCCTGTTAGCATCCACTTCAGCAAAACCTTAAAATGAAGGATTCTATATTCAGGCTAGAGAGCACATGCTAACAGAAGATGGAGAGCCACCTTCTCTGATTACCATTCAGCAATTGACTTCAGCCTCTACTCACAGGCATAGATCCATTCAGCAAACATTTTTGCTGAGCAGATTAATTCTGTGTGTTTTTTTATTGTTGTTGTTGTTGCTTCTTAATTGTAACATCTGAAACCAAATATATTCAAAGGGGAATGTTACACAAGAAGCAAAAAAAGCAAGTTAATCAGTATAGAGGATTTAACCCATATAACTAAAATTAAATTATGACTTCAGTGGTCTAGGCTATTAACTGAAAAATCCAACTCCAGGAACACATCTCAGAGGTGCATGGAGGGCTAGCATAAGGCCCATAGAGGGTCCACATCAGTGTCAGTGTGATTGTCAGGTTCACTGCTATGGCCTGGGTAGGATTTTGTTTCTAGTTCTGAAGAATTGACATACTTAACACAGAGTGAATCTCAACTACATTAAAGCATGTTTGGTTATGTTTATATAGTTAAAAGTAATGTTTATACTTTATAAAATTTCAAAAGATATTAGTGACTGAAATAAACTACAAAAATATTATTTACAAAATGTTTCCACTGATGTAAAATCCTAATACATAAATCTATACAAAATAAAATTTTTGTATGGGAAATGATATAAAGAGGAGAGATCTGAAGTCATTAAAATTATGACTTTGGTACTAGATTTACTTTCTCCTGTATACTATTTTAATCACTGGAGTTCTCAATGAGCATTTTAGTATTGTAAAAGAAGTGGGGAAAAAAACCTAAAAAGTAAAAGAGTATCCAAGGCACTAGTGAGTTTATCATTTAAAACCCTTTTCTTATGATTGTCAAAGGTGTCTGGTGGTGACTGACAGCTGATGTAATACCAAGTGGGATTCCTACATTAGGGTTTTATGAATCCTCTCAATGGCTTCCTCCAGTTCTTCCTTCTGGTCAGGGACAAACCGGTACTCTGACACATATCCCGCAGTATGCTTATAAGGGTCATAGTCTCCAAGTTCAGCTGAAAAAAAAAAAACAAAAAACAGAGATTGCAATTTTATTCATATAAATTTTCCTTAACTATAATACATATGCATTTTTAACTATTTCTAAAAATATAAGAATATTCCCATCATGATTAAACATTTTTCAAATCCTTTATTAACAAATTTATGTAACTAAGATAATTACTAAATAACTTCATTAAAACAACTACAAAGGGTATATGTGTGTGTGTGGTAAAAATGGATTTTAATCAGAAAAGATAAAGTCTAGGAACTAGAGTGATGGCTCAGTGGTTAAGAGCTGGCAGAGGACCTGGGCTTCACTCTCAGCATCCACATGCTGGCTCATAAGCACCTGTAACTCCAGTTCCAGGAAATTCAATGCCCTCTTCTGGCCTCTACAGGCATTGTGTTCGTGTTGTGCACTTAAATACACAACAAAACACTCATACACATCAAATAAAAATAAAATAAAGCCGGGCGTGGTGGTGCACACCTTTAGTCCCAGCACTTGGGAGGCAGAGGCAGATGAATCTCTGTGAGTTTGAGGTCAGCCTGGTCTACATAGTGAGTTCCAGGCAGCTGGGGCTACAGAGAGACCCTGTCTTAAAAAAAATCAAAAAAAAATTTTTAATTAAGCATATAAAGTCTATATATTTGCCGAGTCTAATTTAAAGAGTCTAATTATCATTTATTTTAATTATTCTTATCAGTAGAGATGAAATAAAATGCATGTGCACATTTTATGTAATACATCTACTAGAACTTACGGTATGCATTTTGGAAATCCTGGAGGTGATCCAAACATATTGTCTCAGACAATGACACCGAGAGACTGAGCTTGGGATTCAAAACATCCATGCTACAAATAATGCTCACAGAAACACACTACAGTGCTATGCCCACCCTACCACCACTTGCCCAAGGAAGCAGAATGAAACCAGAAAGCTCTTAAGAACTTCTTCCTACATTAATCTGCCTTCCAATCCCCAACCATGTTCACCTATTTGACATTTTTCCTAGAAGAGTTTTTCTGCACAATTTCTGGTCTACAAGAGTTTCAAGGGCAAAGACCTCACTGTCTCATTTCTCCCATATCAAATTTGATTCTTAAAAGATGCTCAACAATTATTAGCAGAAATATTCACAGCTTCAGTCTTCAGAAGAACAAAATATCCCAGCGCCACCTGACATGGCCACCATATTGATCCAAGAAGTGAAGTATTAATAGCTCTGGATGTGTGCCACACTGGACTTGGTTTTGGTACCTGACCAGAGGCAATGTGATCTCTGAGATACAGCAGCCTGGAAGGGATGGTGGTAAGCTACTGGGTCACTGAACTCAGGTGGGATGTAGATAAAAGAGATTTTTAGGCTTTCTACTAAAGAATCAATGGTAAACCTGAAATTAAAACTGTATACAGCCCACTGACTAACTCCATTTTTACCTCTTTTGAAGGGATGTTGATCAATAAGATTTAAATTCTGGCTGTTTGATTTTTCAAAGCTCATTTAATAGAGTTTCAGAAAATAAACTTACATACAAATAACAATTCAAATATTTTCTCCCAACATTTCTGAAGCAAATGCTTGTAAACGGAACCTACACTGGATGGCATATGCTCCCAGCTGAGCAGCGATATTGACAGGGCAGGGCAGTCGGCCCTGAAGGACATCTTGCTTCACCTGCAAGAAAAACTGATATCTAAAAGAGAAATGGAAAAAGGAGATTAACAATCTCTAATACTGCTCAGGCCTGAAGTTCCAGGCCCTGATCATCAAGAGGAAACCTAATCACCTTTACTGAAAATAATGCACTCTCCACCCTTCTGTGAGGGGTCTACTGAACGAACAGGGACCAGATCAACCAAATGCACTTTACAGAGGCCACACTGGGTTGTTAAACTCTCAAGGAGGACTACCAGGCTTGCATGTGGCTCTGCTGTTCACTATGTCTATAGTCTTTGGCTACTTAGCTTCCCTAAAAGCCAATCTCCTCACAGGACTGGGAAAGGGCAATGTTTGCCTCATGGAGTCCATGAGAAGGTGGAATAAAAATGCAGATGCCATCTGCTGCGCCAGTACTTCCATGGAAGGCCCTTCCCAGGAGGAAGGAATCACAAGGGCCCTGTCTATGACACATGTCATCTACAAGGCCCAAAATTATGCACACCACCCAGAAACATCGTTAGTGTTTTTCCATCCATCCTCCCACTTATTAAGATGTTGATCATTTAATCTTTGCTTATTCTATGTTGCCAAAAGAAAACCTTTTATGATTATTCCTCCAAAAGCTTTTTTAAATATTGTAAGTATTATAACTAACTCTATGTGTTTTGCATGAAATGACCTAGAAAAATGAGGGCAGCACTGTTACTTTCATCCTGCAGTTCTGCTAATTTGTCCAGGCGCTCAAAGCTTGTTAGTAACAGAGCCAGAACTACAATCCAAGCAATTGGACCCTAGAACTCTCAATCAAGAGGTTATACATGGGTTGGAGGAATAACTCAGTTGGTAAAGTGCTTGCCATACAAGCCCGAGGACCTGAGTTTGATCCTGAGAGCCCACATGAAAAGCCTGGGCATGGTGCTGTGCTCATAATCCCAGTTTCAGGAGGCAGAGAAAGGCAAATCCATGCCATTCTCTGGCCAGCCTGCCTAGCTTAATGGACAAACTCCAGGCCAATGAGAGACCCTTTCTCAAAAACTAAGGTGGACAGTGTCTGAGGAATGTGAGGAATGACATCCAAGGTTGACATCTAGCCTACACACACACACACACACACACACACACACATACACACACACACACACACACACACACACGAGGTCATGCAACTCTGATTAGATTTTTGCTTTCTCTTATTCAGTCTTTCTGCCAATGGATGAAAAAGGGCAGCCGCTAATGAGTTAATGTAACAAACCATCAGCACCACATCCAACCACGCTCACAAGCATGCTCCCACACACTTACATCCTTCAGGCTGTCCTGTGATTTCCCTTCCTTTGCAAGGTGACACTTGATGTCATTGGAATGGGCAAAGAAAAGAAAAATGAATGAATTCTAGAAATCAGCTGTGGCAAATATTTTTTCTCCAACTGCTTACAATTAAAGGTCTTAGTAAGGAAATCCAAGTGTTAGATGCCACGCCGATTATTCCCAGAAGACTGACATCAACTTGAAGCACAACCACAGGCTTGGGGGGAAAAAAACTCCTCCTCCCTGCCCATTTCAGCAGCTGGCCAGTATTCTCAGAAGTGAGAGAAATCAAGGAATACTGTATAACCATTTCTGGCACCCACATTCAACCATCAAATATGTGACAATCTGGCAGTAATGCACTTCTTCTCACCCCTAATTCAGACCCCTATCCCTTGTATTTTGTTTGTTTGTTTGTTTATGTATGGATAGATAGACAGACAGACAGACAGACAGACAGACAGACAGATAGATAGATAGATAGATAGATAGAGATAGATAAAGATATAGATATATAGTGTTTTGCCTTCATGTAATTTAAGTGCACCTGTGCCATGCAATGCTCATGGAGGCCAGAAGAGGGCACCGATCTCCTGGAACAAGAGCTACAGATGGTTGTTAGCTGCCTTGGGGTGCTGGGAACTGAACCTAGATCCTCTGCTGGCCAGTGCTCTTAATCACTGAGCCATCTCTCTAGCCCCTATCAGTTGCTTTTTTCCCATCATCCACACTTAGTTTCCTTCCAATCTTCCCAAAGGTAAAGAAGACCTTTCAGAAGTAAAGAAGATCATATTATTTTTTGACAAAAACATCTTTTGAGACTTTCCTTTCCTTCAAGATAAAGTTCAAGCTCCTAAGGTAGCATGTAAGATACAAGCTTACTTGTCGGGTCAAATCTCTTCCATAGACCAGGGACCACCCAACTCCTTAGTCTGCATCGATTCTTCCAAGATTACTTAACTACTGGTCATTCCTGAATGTTCAGTGATATAGCTAAGCTTACAGCGACCATCTGTGCACCTCTTGGAGAAGAGAAAAACAGAAAAAAAGTGGTATTGAAATTAAGCACAAAAGCTTATAAACTAAATACACTCACTAGAATGACTTCTGCTTGCTGGAAATATGTGTTTGCTACAGGCTCCTTCTCTGCTAAGACCTTCGAATTTCTTTTCTTGAAATGTAGTTTTCTGATACCTGACTACATTGTCAAATCCCTTACCAAATACAGAAACAGAGGGACCTAATCCTACAGGCACCTGCTTTGAAAACAAAGAAAAAGGCTGTTCAAAGGGTGTGTAAAAACTAAGAACTGAATTCAGAAAGACAGGCAGAGACTGTGTACCAGGTATCTAAGGCTCAGCATATCATAGCTGCTGAATAAATCGCTAGTTTGATAGATGGGACTACAGGTGAACAGAAAGATGGAGGGCAGTGGAGAGAGGAGATGTGATACTCTCTGTTGTCCATGAGAAATCCAAAAACAAAAGAATGAAGGGTGTATGTTCTCACTCCCTGAAACAGTCAGTCCTCTGAAGATATCAGTGCTATTTAATTCACTGCATTTAAAATCCAGCCAAAATCGAAGAAGGCAAGCAAATACTTTTTGGTTGAAAAATATGATTATTTTGATATACAATTATATTCCTATGACAGATTTATGATAAAGGTCATTTTATATGCTAGTAGTGTCTTAGGAGCTATTTTTAATTAACTTTAACTCATTTTGTCTATTTTTATGGGATTTTGAGTAAAATCATAGCTCTCCATTTCTCTGATGTCTACTGAAGGAGTTGAAATAAAACCAAGGTTGTTCACATTCCTGAGGAACATTAATAATTTAATAATTATCAAGAATGAGCAGAGAAGCCTTGCTTTAAAGAGGCAAAAGGATTTTTTTTTTTTTACTGTGTATCTGGAGAACATTTTTCCATTTCCCCCCTTTATTCCCATAGTTATTTGTATAGTCCTCACACAGTTTTAAAAAAGGGGGTGCTGGAGAGATGGCTCAGTGGTTAAGAACACTGGTTGTTTTTGCAGAAGACCTGGGTTCGAATCCCAGCACCCACATCACAGCTAACCACATCTGTAACTCCAGTCCCAGGGGATCCAACAGCCTCTTCTAACATCCTCTGCGGGCATTGTACGACACAGGCGCACTTACCTACATGCAGGCAATACACGCATTACACATAAAATAAAAAAATAAATAAAATTTAAAAAAAGCCTTAAGCAGCACAATGGGGTTGGAAGAAAGCCCTTCCACAAGCAATTTGGTTGTTAAATGAAAATCCCAATGCCAGAGGTGGATTGCCCCCTATAAGCTGTTGGCCTGAGGGACACTAGAGGTCCCCAAAACAATAAAGGCCACTGCCAACAACATTGGTTGTACACCAGAAGTGGATGGAAAACCCTGTTCCTAAAGACACTACATGATGTGAGTACAGGAGAGGGAGAAAGCCAACTTGGACTAAGCTGGAAACTCCCTGCCACTGAATGGGTAGCTTTCATGGTGCCAAAAGACAACATACAGGTGACTGGGGAAGAATAATCCCCTATAATTCTCCTTAACAACGGACCCCGAGTGTTGCACAATGAACACACCAAACAAGATGCTCCTGCTGGTGCAGTAGCAGAGCATCTAGTGTATGTACAACCAGCAAATTTTCGATTGGCTTTAATGCCCACTCCTAGGGGTGGAACACACATTTGGTACTGCAGACCTGGCCAAACCCCTGTGGCAGGGGAGAATATAGGCCCCAGAGGGAAGTCACTGCAGTTGCTTTGATAAATGGAAATGATGTACCTGCTAAAGTACCAACCAGGCATTTGTGTTTACACCCATAGGTTAAGTTATATAGCAGGCACTGTTTAGATGTTCTTGCTTCTTGCTGTGTATGTTTTTATAGTAGATGGAATCCCACTGAAACTGGCCAACAGCCCATGGAAAACACATGATACAGAGACCCAAAAGTTCAGTGTCTTGCCGCAATGAGAGGAAGATCATCCCACACCTACCACCCCCTCCAAGGCTCAGGGACTTTTGCAGAAGAGGTTGGAGGAAAGAATGTAAGAGCTGGAGGAAGGGGTGGAATGTTAACTGGAAACGTGCGGCAAGCTATAGTCATACCTCCTTCCCATGTCCATCAAGAAGGAGGGAGTCAGTTACCCCTCCCACTCAATCAGTTGACGTTAGCTGCATGTGGGGGGGCGGGCAAAAAATATCTGAGCCAAGAACACCAAGAGGCACCTCTCCCACTATTTTGTGCAGCTGTCAGGAGGTCACAGGATCTGTATTTGAGTGTGGACTTTACAGAACAGCCATAAATGTGGGGTGCCCACTCTCCAGCAAATAAACCCCTACCCTATGCTCTGTTAAAAAGTGTTCACCTTACCCCAATCGTACCGCCTAAGATCAGGAGAACAAATGATACCAAATGCTGGCAAGGATGTGGAGAAAGGGGAACACTCATTCACTGCTGGTGGGATTGCAAACTCGTGTAACCATTATGGAAAGCAGTATGGCAAACTCTAAGAAAACCAAAAATGAACGTATCATATGACCCAGTTATACCACTCCTTGGCACATACCCAAAGGATTCATCCTATTGCAGAGACACTTGTACATCTATGCTTGTTGTTGCTCTTTTCACAATGGCTAAGAGATGGACACAACCTAAGTGTCCCTCAACTGATAAGCAGTTAACGAAAATGTGATACATTTACACAATGGAGTCCTACTCAGTGGTAAAGAAAAACAAAATCATGAAATTTTCAGGTAAATGGATGAATCTAGAAACTGTTATACTAAATGAAGTAACACAGACTCAGAAAAACAAAAGATGTATGTTCTCCCTTATTTGTGGATCCTGGCAAATTCTTATAAACCCCACCCAATGCTCTATTAGCAAGCCAAATAAACTCATTAGGATTTTCAAAAAATAAATAAGTACAAAAAAAAAAAGAAAAAGAAAAAAAGAAAAAAGGCATACTGTTCTTCCAGGGTGCTGGTACAAGGACCCTTGTGAGACCTTTGAGACCAAATATATCACAGATGCTCACAGCTTAAGTCTGACATGTGTTCAGATGCTTGAGACCTGGGTGTGGACACTAAAAGAACAGGGATGGGTAGATGTTCAGCTCCTCACTGCAAGACTCTAGGAGAAGAGTACCTACCTACACAGGGGCTAATGAACAGCAGGCTCATATCCCTCAGCTCAAAAGAGCAGGGCACAGTGTGCAGGGGAGCCTAAGCAGTCTGGATAAAACTTACTTGGCTATGGCTGACACAGGCCCCTGGGGCAAACTTATTACTATTATTTTGCTAAATGAATATAATACCAAACTGCCCTCTAAATATGTCTCTCTATACCCACAGATTAGTGCAGGCCCCAGTTCTCACCAGAGAAGATTCTTTGTTCAGTGAACAGCAGTTAATGTAGATACTCACAACTGGTCAAAGTGCAGAGAATAACTGTCTCTAGAGTGCTGAGCCATAAATGGGACATATATATATCACAACCCCTCCCCTTTTGAAAGCTCAGGGAAGAGGGGGCAGAAAGGTTGTAAAAGTCAGCAGTCAGGGAAGACTGAGGTGAAACTGTCTTCTGGGCATGACAGGACTGATGCACTCATGAACTCACAGCAGCTGTGATTATTTGCACAAGATCTGCATAAGATAAACCCAGTCAACATTCCAGCATGTTTAGGGCTCATGAGCCCCTATCCCTAGCTGAGGAGCTATGGACTGTTGATGGCTGTTAGGGGAGGAAGAGTTCATTTGCTTTAAGCTTGTGGCCTCTGGTAGCTCCACTATGCTCCACCTCCAGCAGATAGGCCCACACCCATAGGCAGCACAAATTGGACTTGGTGGGTTATTTTTTTTTTAAAAAAAAGGGCATGAAGATAGGAGAGAGACTGAGAGACTTGCTGAGGTGGTTCAGAAGGAGAGGGAGAGGGGGTTAATATGGATGAAGACACATCTTATACATATATGAAATTGTCAAAGAATATTTAAAAAGAAAAAAACTTATTTGAAGGGTGGATGGAAATGTTTAAGTAATATAATATTGAATAATATGGGAAATAATGGGTATGACATAATGGAAAAATAGTAGAGGAAGTTTCTAGCAATCCTAACAGAAGATGAAGATTAGAAATAGTATTTTTCCATTGAAATTACAAACCAATGATTAATGTGGAACAAACTGCAATAATATCACCTTACATTTGCACAGAGCTTTCAAGTGTACACAGGTCTTGTCTAAAGACCTGCAACCCTCTCCTCAGCTCTGAGACAGGAAAGGTTCTTTATCTTCAGAAAGTGAACATGACTGAAGGTCACCCTGCTAGTAAAGAACCTAAAGGCAAGCTGACCACACAGGGACGCTACGGATTACAAAAATGGTAGTAAAATAGATGAGATTAATATTAAAATTACATAAAATGTTACAAGAGCTAAAGTAAAATTTATTTATTTATTTATTTATTATTTATTTATTTATTTAGTCTTTTTGAGACAGGGTCTCCCTGTAGCCCCAGCTGTCCTGGAACTCACTATGTAGACCAGGCTGGCCTTGAACTCACAGAAATCTGCCTGCCTCTGCCTCCAGAGTGCTGGGATTAAAGGCATGCACCACCATGCCCGGCCATACCTACTTTTTGAGCAAAAAAAAAATGTCATTATATAGCTGTTAGACATGTAAAAATATTTTCTTCAGGTGGATGCAAGCCAGGTCTTTCCATGGTCACTACTGATCATGTGGAGCCTGATGCTCTGCACAGTCACTGAATGAAGAGCAAGCATGAAAGCAGACATTGCAGGATCCTGAAACTGTGCCAGGTCAGGGTGGGATGGGAGAGGCCCAGGGAGTCTAGCCTCTTCCTATCCTTCCATGTGCAGAACAAAATAAAGGCAAAACAAAGTCTGAGAAGAAAAATAAAAAGGATGCAACAGGGGGCTGGGAAGATGACTCGGTCACTAAAGTGCTTACTGCACAAGCACAAGGAGCTGAGTTCAAATCCCCAGCATCTGCATCAAAAGCCAGGCATAACATTGTGTGCCTATAAGCACAGAGCTGGGAGGTAGAGACAGGCATTTCCCTGGAGCTGGCTGGCCAGCCAGGCAAGCCAAGTAAGCTCTGTGTTCACTAAGAAACTCTGTCAAAAATTAAGGAGAGCAATTGGAGAGGACATCTGACTTCTGGCCTCCACATGCACATACACACCCCATATACACATGTACACACACACACACACACACACACACACACCCCAGTATGGAATAAAACACACATATACAGGCTGCCTTCGTTATTGAAGACATGATTTCCAAGTTTTAAAATAATATATTAAGCTTTACTTGAGTACATGATAAAGGTTCACTGGAAAACTGACCACTTAACAGGGCAAGTGCTTTTGTTTTTTCAACCAGTTACCTGATTAAATAACTTAAACACAACACTGTTATATTCTCCTTATAAGGCACTTTCAAATGTTGGTATAGACTGATTTGATGCTCTAATCAATACCAATGAGAAAGCCTGCCTTGACTGAAATATATTTGGTGATACCAATGAAATAATATGTTAAAATACTATCTTTTGTTCTTCTGTCTTAATATTAAAGAAGCTTTCTTTTCATTTTCTGTAGAGATAAGTGAAATATCTGAACAACTGATAATTTAGCTACAACTAATTAAAGGGAAATAACTGGCTTTTCAAATATATATTCACATATGTAAAACTAGCACCCAAATTCCCTCCCTTTAGAGTTCAAAAGGCTGTCTTAGACAAACACAATGGACGAAATAACTGGCTTTTCAAATATATATTCACATATGTAAAACTAGCACTCAAATTCCCTCCCTTTAGAGTTCAAAAGGCTGTCTTAGACAAACACAATGGCCGAATCCATGCTTAATAATGGCAGAGAATATCCCATCTCAGCAGATGCAAAATCTATCAGCACGTCACCCAGGTTCCTGCCATTTTTCAAGCACATCTATCATCAGACACTGATCTGCCTCATTCAATGCTGAAATTTAATCCTCACAGCAGATGAATTACAAGATGCATATAAACAAACATGTAAATGTTCAACCCCAACTTTTAATTCACTTTCAATAAAGCCTTTCATATACAGTATATTTATTCATAAACAAAGTCAACACTGTACCTGGTTATTTCTTCTTTTAGCTTACATGGATCTTCAGCATAGAATTTAATACCAAAATACAAAGTATATGGAGGTCCAGCTAAAATAAAAAGTAAAAATTAATCAAATTTCATATTATAGTCAGAGTTGTATTGTGATATTATGTAACTACTAAGAATTACATTCACATACCATGGAGATTCCAATAAATATGAAGGCCATCTATTTCAAAGTGTTGACAAGTTCATTTACATACAAATTGCATTTTAATCTTTACACTGTCATATTAAATAATATTAGTATCACAATTTACCTTTAGATATACCGTGTACCCACTGACATAATTTACACATTTTTTTAAAACTTTTAATAATTTTGATTGTTAACTGCTGAAAATGAAAGGTTCTTTACCTGGGGTCAGGAGGCAGAGAAGCTTTAGGGGCTTGAGGGCATGGCTCAGTGGGTAAAAGCACTTGATATGCAAACATGAGAGTCTGAGTTAAAATCCCTAGTAGTAATGTAAAAAGCTCGGCATTGCAGCGCACGTGCTTGTAACCCCAGTGCTGAGGGGTAAGGAGGAAGGCTTCCAGGGCCTGCTAGCTGCCAGTTTATCTCCAGGGTCATCAAGGGACTCTGTCTCAAGGGAAAAAGGCAGAGGATGATAGAACAGGACATCTGACGTCCTCTTCTAGCCTCTGCATGTGAGTACACATATCCCCACATACACTTGTATATACAACACACACACACACACACACACACACACACACACATACACAGTACATTCACAGAGAATATCTGAAGACATAAGAGAACAAAATGGAAAAGATATGGTTTAAGACTGTTGAAAATAGGAACTCGATTCTGTGTGCTTACATGTGCATGCAAGGTGGGGTATACACAAAAATAAACACAGAAGGCCAAATATACCACAATGTTACTAGTTTTTACATGTGGTTTTTCTATATACCATTTTTATTGATGTGTATTTTTCAATTATTCATTATTTAGGGAAGGAGGAAGGAGAGGTTCTTTTCAAAATCAAGAAAGCATATTGACATATAAATGATCTTTTAAAAATCATCCACTTCAACTATCAAGAATAAAGTTTTTCTAAACTTCTCTGCCAAAAGCTGAAAACAGTGCTCAGCAACAACACACGGACCATTTGAGTCAGTGGCAACCAAGGACAATGGGTGAGCCTAGGCATTTTCAAACAGAAGGAGGTGTGTACGTGCTGCTGTGGAAAAGGTCACCGTCTAGTCCTGAGTGCAAACATGATCCCTCTTAGGGAAAAGAAAAGCTAACATATGTTGTTTGCTCCTGGAAAAACATACAAGAAATTATAAAAAGAGCCAAACTCTGGCAAGAGGAAGTAGTGCACAGTATTTATTTCATTCTTTTTTAAAATATATTTTATTATTTTTTTAATTTTATGTGTATGAGTGTATTGCCTGCATGTATATAAGTGCACCTGTGTTACACAATGCCCACAGAGGTCAGAAGAGAGCATTGGATCCCCTAGAATTGGAGTTACAGACAGCTGTTAGCTGCCATGTGGGTGCTGGGAACTGACTCCAGGTCCTCTGCAAGAGCAGCCAGTGCTCTTAACCACCAAGTCATCTCTCCAGCTCCTTATTTCATTCTTTTTTTTTTTTTTTTTTTTTTTTTGGTCTGTCTGAGATAGGGTCTCGCCATAGCCTTGCTATTGAGACCAGGCTGGCCTCAAACTCAAACTCAGAGATCCACCTGCCTCTGCCTCCCTAGTGCTGGGATTAAAGGTGTACACCACCACGCCTGGCTCCTATTTCATTCTTAAACTAGTCTAAATCTAAAAATATATTCTCACATATGTAAGAAGATATTTCTTCATTTACTACACACAGAAGGTCTAAGTCTACAGATAACAATAACAAAATTTTTAAATTCAGAAAACAAGCCTGGAACTGTACATACATGGGAAAATATAAAATAATCAAATACATTGTCCAGGAGTACAGCATCCCTTGGGCACCAACCATGTTATATTTTTCCTAGAAATATTTCTTATTCAGAGGGTATGAGGTAGTCTGCACTGTTTTCAAAACTGTGAATTTCTAAGATGACAATAATTCTTAACAGATCTAACAGGCTTTGTTTTTGGTTTTGAGACAGCGTCTCAAACCAGCGATATAACAGAGAATAACTTTGAACTCTTGATCCTTTGCCTCTACCTCCCAAATGCTGTGTCCTTTGTTTTAAAAGGATTTTTCACTTGGCATTCAGATTGTTTCTTGCTGTTGCTATTTATTATTTCAACAAAAGCTCTCCCCAACAACCAGAAAATGTGAAACATGTTCCTCAGTGAAAGTAGTTGAAACTGCGTAGCTTATACGGAAAAAAAACTAGTCTATTTTCATTTTTAGTTAAACAAATGAAACCACCAATTAAAAGCTGGGGAAAACCAACAAATTAGAACAAGTAATTAATTTACAACATACAAACCATGTGGTTGATTATTGTCACATACACACACTTATGTTTGTAATCCCTCAAAGTCCTATTCCCTATATACAGAGGGATGATCAGGAACAGGCCCATCTCTCCCTTCATCTATACCTTCCTGAGTGAGGTACTTCTTATGCTAGTGGTTTGTTTTGTTTTAATATTTTATTTATTATTTTTATTTTATGTGTATGAGTATATTGCCTGCATGAAGGTGAGTGTACCCATGTCATGCAATGCCACGGAGGTCAGAAGAGGGCATCGGATTCCCCTGGAACTGGAGTTAAAGGTGGTTCATAGCTGCCATGTGGGTGCTGGGAATCAAACCCAGGTCCTCTACAAGAACAGTCAGTGCTCTTAACTGCTGAGCCATCTCTCCAGCCCCGCTAGTGTTTTTTTTAAAAATTAAATTTTGAAAATCTTGCTCTAATTTCTTATTACCACTCCACATATTTGGTTTAATGTTTATTCAACTACTGTTTATATTGCTGACAAACACACCACTACTCCTGAACACAGACGCCAGAGAGGCAAGAGCATTAATTATTTAGAACAACTAGGAAGGCCACTGATGACTGACAGTCATTGTCAATCAAGCTCTGCTCCTGAGCAGATGGGCCTGCCTGTGCCCGTAGGTGATTGGGCTTGACACCTGGAGGGTGAGGGAGGCAAGGAGGTGCACACATGTCGCAGAGAAGTGCATAAAGGGAAGAGACCTATAGAGCCCAGAGCTGCTCTTATCCTGTGGAACACGACAGATGACCCCTTATTCACCAAGTCATGAAAAGCTAAGTAGAAACTTGAAAAACACACAATGAGAATTTTTTTTTTTAAGGACTTTGGCCCAAATGAGCCCTTCATTTTCCACTTACATACAGAGCGGCTTGTTCCACTTTGTGTTGCCTTTGGTAATGTACAAAAGTGCTTCACGAACTTTTCATACTCAACCACAGCATGGTAACCAGCAAAGGCAGGTGATGCTCCTGAGAGTTAAGCAACTTGCCTGGGACCATGAGGATGAGAACCATGTTTGCCAATGCCTGGTGTCTGGTGCTATTTGGGCATACTTCCACCTACCTCTTGGGAAAGCAGACTATAACATCTTTGGGCTGAACAAATATTCTATCTACAGCTGGTACAGCAATCACAGGCTATAGAAATGCATATTTGGGATATTTTGGAACAAGAATATTTCTAGTCAGTCATTTTCTGGAGTCTTGTTCTAAGACTAGCTACAAAGAGTTGATGAAGCAAACTGCTAACTCAGTAAGATCCTAAATCCATCCATCTGACATGATTGACATTAAGAAACCCTTAAAGTGAAGCTCGTGCGACTTTGCTTTAACAAGAACTGATAGGAACCAGACACTGGCACTTCCTCAATTTATCTTTTGTGAAGACAAATTTTAAAAAATTTTGGTATAAGGAAACAACCCCTTTTTATGGATGTTCATCCTGATTGTGCTATTTTTAATTGTCAAAGTCTTCCATGACAGGTTTCTTCAGTTATGACAGGGCTTTATACTTACTATACTAAGCATTTATCAGAATTGCATTCTGAGAACAAAAACTTACTGCCTCTTACACTGTTGTTTAAATAACATGTTTTAAGCAGTTAAATAGAGACTTTAAATGTGCTCAGAAATATTTTAATAACTCAGATTTTCTTTTAAATGCAAATGAGTGTTTTGTATCCTTGTAAGTGTATCATGTACAAACAATGCCTAAAGAGGTCAGAAGGCAGCATCAGATCCCCTGGAACTGGAATTACAGATGGTTGTTAGCCACCAAGTAAATGTTGGGAACCGAATCCTGGTTCTCTGCAAGAGCAGCCAGTGCTCTTAACCATTGATCCGTCTCTCTAGCCCCAATAGTTAATCTTAAAATAATTTTCTGTTTGTTTTCTTTTTTGAGATAGAGTCTTATTCTCCAGCCTAGTCTGGAATGGAACTCACTATATAGCCCATGCTGGCCTCAAACTTGTGGCAGTCCTCCTGCCTCAGCCTCTTATGTGCTGGGGTTATAGGCATGAAGCAGCCTGTCCCAGCAAACAAATTGACATTCTTTAATTATCTCAGTTTTTTTCTTACAGAAGAAACCTACAAGTTTATTTTAAAATAATCATTCTTGAAATTCTTCTAATTTTCTATAAATTTGTTCAAATGGATCAGAGCTGTGATTGTTAAACTTCAGTTGCTCCCAGTACAGAGGCAGAAAAGCAGAGAGAATCAAAACGATGCAGATGTCAGAGAAATGGTACTTGCTTAAGAATCCTGCAACTCCTGTTGTCCCGTTTTTTCCTGAGGCATGGCTACATTCCTGCCCTTGGATCCATGAAGATTCACACACCAGTATCATCACAGAGAAAGAGCCAACCCACATGTGCTGCAGATGGCACTGTAAAGGCCAGAAGAGCCCACTAGGCTCTAGTTAGCAGAAAGGCACACAGTTGAACAAAATGGTTTAATGGGTACAGTTTCAATATGCAATGAAAAAGTCGTGGAGGTGGATGGTGGTTACAACAATGTTAATTACTTAGTGTATTACATAGAAAATCTTTAAAATTTTAAAATTTTATGTACATACCACAATTAAATTATTTTAAAGGACTATTCCTTTGTATCCTTAAGTTTGTGCATGTGTTTATACATAAAACCTTGAATGTGAATTTTAGGATTAAAGAATTTGTACTTAATTACACCAAGTCTCCTAATAAATCCATATTGATGATACCAAAAGCTAGCCCCTGACAATGAAAGACCTCTCTCAGAAGTCTGAGTAACTTTTCAGGTCACATACAGGGTACCCTGTGGCATGAATAACAATACACTCCTTAACCCAGAAACAAACATTTTAAAAGCCAGCAGACCATTTTTCTCTATCTCGCTCTCTAGTCAGTGCCTTTCTGCTTTTTCTTTTTAAGGTCAAGGTTTAAGGACATGCATATAGAAAAGTCATGCATAAAATCAGAAGAAGATGGATCCCCAGGCCAAATTCAATACAGTGTTAAGATCCACTGACTATCAGATGGGCCTGAACATGATGTGTCTGGAGAACACCTGACAGTGTGCACAATGCCGCCCCCGTGCTGCTTCCTCTCCAGCATGAAAGCTCCTTTCTTAATTTATTTATTTTTATTTTTATGTGTATGAGTGCTTTGCCTACATCTAAGTGCACCCATGCATGCAATGCAAGCAGAGGCCACAAAAGGGCGTTGAATCTCCCAGAACTAGAGTTTCAGATGGTTGTTAGCTGCCATGTGGGTGCTGAGAACCAAACCCAGTTCCCTGCAAGAGCAGTAAGTACCCTTAACCACTGTGTCATCTCTCCAGCCCCTAAAGCTCCTTTAACTAATAATCATGGGCATTTTGCCACTTGCAAGTCACCCCCTCACAAAATTAAAATTGAATACCTACTGTTGATTAGTTCTTTGTGCTCAGCAAGAGTTTTTGCAGGATCCAGCCAATACTGTGAGAGACAGAAAGGGGTAATTACAAAAATTAGTTGCTTTTCATTGGCCTTTACTTCAAGAATATTTGCAAAATATTACTTAAATGGTATTTAAATACTTAATAAACATTTATCATGTGCCATATCAAATTTCATATCCACAAACTTACTAAAGAGCATTCTGTATTAGGAAGAAAGCGATCATTATTCAAAGATCCAGGAAAGGAGCTCAGTGCAGGTGAGGGCCTGAGTCCCAGAGTAGACTTAGGTGGATTTCAACCTGGATCTGCCCTCATCATCATTATGTAACACGGAACAAAGGACTGCACACTGTACATTCCTGCAGGGTTTCTATGCAGAATAAATGAGATAACTCACATGGAGTTAGCCACTGGTTCACCCTAAGCTATGCAACACGTAATTATTGTTAAGGGGTGAGAGTCATTACTGGTAGCTGGCTTTAGCCCATCTGAGTTATGTGCTTATTAGTTTGAATTAATCTTTAATGAATAGAATTTTAAGCAGGAATGGGAGAATTCGGGGCCCTGGAGGGGGCTTTCCTTTGTTTCCTGGTGAAATAAAAACACCAAAAGAAGCAGGCCTCCAGCCTCAGTGCTCTACCTGTGAGAGGAGGAAGGGGAAGTCACAAAAGCAGGGAAGGCATCAGGGTTCCATGGAGTGTCCTGAAGGATCCATTGGGGTGAATAAATGGAACCTGGCCATCACTATTGTACATGAATATGGGGGGTCCCCAAGGGCCATTTTTATCTGCCTGAATAAAGAAGGGACAATTCTTGGAGGAGGGAAGAGCTGCCCTCCCACATGCCACCTGATTCCCAGAACTTTTGCATTTGTCCAGCTGAGATCACTTGTATCTCTCTCCACTTTTCACTCAGGAGCGAATCGGGGACTACAAGAAAAGTCCATGAGAACATACCTACCAGGCTTTCCTTCCCTTTCTTGGCTTGCTCTGCCATTTCATAGTATCCATAATTAAAAGCAATGGTTCTAGTATTTTATACAACTCCCTTAGATTTTATTCCAAATTATATATAATATTCACACCAAGTGCCTATAACAGTCCTGTTGCTACGCTAACCTCTGTTCGTGCCCACGTAACTTTCACTTGTCTGCCACTCTTGACAATTCAGTTCTCCAAAGGTTTTACAGATTTACAAATAGCCATCATACACAAAGTACCCACGTAATGCTCATTTACCTGGCCTTCATCATTTCTCATTTTTAAAACAGAAAAGGTATTTGAAGCAGAGGCTGTAATCAGGGAAAATCGTTTGAAGTCCCCAGTGACTAAAGAAGTGGCCGTGGTATTTAAACAGCGATTCACTGGGAAATGCTGGCTCGCCATGTAGAGCAAGATCAATCCACATGTCAAGCTGTGTTCTGGACACAAAGAAAACTCATTCCTCCTTGTATGTAAAGCCACGGATTCCTTCCATGGAATAGAAATATAAATCTGATGGACTATTTCTTTCTATTGGTATTAAATAAAAGGTTTGGGGCTTGCAACAACTTTCAGCAGGTAAAAGCACTGTGATCCCACAGTAGAAGGAGAGAACCCACTTCCTTTGTTGTCCTCCGTGCAGACATATACACAGACACAGACACAGACACACACACACACACACAACACACACACACACAAAGCAATATTAATTTATTAAAAACTAAAATATTTTTAAAGACTCCTGTATTTTTCAGAGGGGAAGCTAAAGAGACACAAATATCCATTTAACACTTGCTTAGGCTTCTACTCCTGCATAACAAATTGCCCCCCAAAAAGAGAGTCTCACAACAACATCCATTTATTATCTAAGTTCTACAGATCCCTTTGCTCTGGGTGCAACAAGGATGGGGTCTTAGACAGTTTGGCTAGGGACCTCACCCACAAGAGTAAAGAAGAGAAAGGACTGAAGGTTGATGGTCCTTGGAGGCTCTCCCCGTTGTCTCCCCACTCTGAATATTGGGTCTTGTTATAGGCCTTATACCACACACATGAGGAATTAAAATGTGCAGAAACAGTGGGCATAGAGGTGCACACCTTTAACCCCAGCTCTCTGGAGGCACAGCCAGGCAGATCACTTTGATTTGGAAGTTTAGCCTGATTTACATAGTGAGTTCCAGGTCAGCATATTGAGATCCTGTCTCAAAAACAGCAACAACAAAAAAAAGCTGGGTGTGGTGGCACCCACCTTTAGGCCCAGAACTCTGGAGGCAGAGGCAGGTAGATCTCTTTGAGTTCGAGGCCAGTCTGGTCTACATAGCGAGTTCAAGGCCAGCTGGGGCTACAGGAAGACCCTGTCTCAAAAAGACCCTCCCCCCCAAAAAAAGAAGCAACAAAATAAAAACAAAAAGCAGGAAGGAAAGAAGGAACTAAGGGAGGGAGAGAGGGAGGGAAGAAGAAACAACACCAAAACAAAAGAAGAAATGGAAAGGAGACAACTGAAACTATTGAGAACAAAAGCAAAGCTTTTAAACTTTTCTTTCTAACATCATCATTACAAAATATCAAATTTTATAGATTCTTCCACTCAATGCATTTTTGGTAACAAACTTTTTGATGTTTATTTTTTGCTGGCACATAACATAAAAGCTACGTATATTTATGATGTAGCATGATGCTCAGTATGTGTATACACTGTGTCACTTTCTGTTTTTGTCTCCAAATGTTTTGTAAACACTGAAAGGGCCAAGTAAAGAAAAGAAGAAGAAAGCTTTTGTCTCAGTAGGATAGGAAAGACTGATTAGTGCAGCAAACAAAACACTAGTAATAACCTGCACAATTTAAACCTCTTTCCATGAGAATGATTAAACTTTTAAGGTGAAAAGGTATAATGAAGTTTCTGAGACGAGCTAGAAACTACAATTTTGCACCAAGAAAAAGAAAAAGGAAGACCCAGTCAAAGACTGTCCAATCAACTTCCCTGCACATTAGATATGTTAAGCATCAATCCAGGGCTTGCCAAGCATAAATCTCATTTGATCAAAATGGAAGGCAGGAGTGGCAGAGGTCAGGCAATGATAAATGCTCCAGAATGTAAATAACAAACACAAGCTACCAGGTTTCATAAGCCAACACCCTGAAATGCAAAATCCACTTAAGTTTAACCAAGGGAAAGATATGACCTTGGAACTAAACAGCCTTTCTATGACGGTGCTTGTCACCACTCATTATCAACAAGCAGTCAGACTGATCACACTGAACTCATCAGGCTGCTGCTCTGCAGCTTAGAGGGAAAAGGGCACAGAAATTTGCTATTGAATGCAGCATTCCCATCATAAGGACTCCATGGAGAATACTGGTCATGGGATGGTAGTACTCTGGAGGTAGAATATAGTCCTATTTAACATACACAGATTTTCCACTCTATGCACTCTATGTGTTACACTAAGCACTGTTCTGGGGAGTGAGATAGACTCCCCCTGCCCCCATCCTCTAGCAAGAGACCCACAGACATAGAATTACAATACATCATGGTGAGAAAATGTTCATAAAATGAGCACATAGAAGATACTAAACTTATACACCAATGAAACTACAAGGAAAGTGTGAAAAAAAAAACAAGGGGAAATCATCAACAATATGTTTATGAAAAACATCCTCAAGATTAATAAACGGGGGGAGAAAAGAGCCTACTATTTTTATAAAACACGTGTCAACTGTCTCACTGCTTTGTGTGTATGTGTGTGTGTGTGTGTGTGTGTGTGTGTGTGTGTGTGTAGGCCAGAGGTTGATATCAGATGTCTTCCTCAAATGTTTTCCACACCATTTTTAATACATTTTTATTAATTGTTTTAGAATTCTATACATGCATACAATGCATTTTAATCATATTCATCCTTAACTTCTCCCAGATACATCCTCTCCTCCATTTCCCACACTCCCCCCCAATTTTGGGTTACACCTTATTTTTGTTTTGTTTTTGTTTTTATTTTGAGACAGGGTCTCCTTGTAGCCCCAGCTGACTTGAAACTCACTATGTAGACCAGGCTGGCCTCAAACTCACAGAGATTTTGCATCTGCCTCCCGAGTGCTGAGATTTAAAAGGCTGTGCCACCATGCCCTGGCCTGTACCTTATTTTTTGAGGCACAGTCCCTCACTAAGCCTGGAGCTCATTAATTTGACTAGGCTAGTTAGCCAATGAGCTCTAAGAATCTTCCTGTCTCCACCCCACACCATTTCCCCCCAAGTCTTGGATTTACAGGAATGCAACACTGTATCACTTTACATAGGAACTAGGGATCCAAATTCAGATCTTCAAATTTGCATGGTAGGCACTTTATTGACTGAGATATCTCAGTAGTCCTTCTCAACTGCTTTTAAAGCAAATGAATCTGTTATTAAGTGACAACAGAGAATGTGAGATTCCGAGCTCTTTGCAAGAGAGGACTATATTCAGGTCAGTGCTACCTAAGAGCTAAGAAGAAGCATGTTATGGTTTGGAAATAGTTTGTCCCTTTCAAAATTCATGTTGAAATTTGGCCACCAGTATAAGAGTAGCAAGAATAAGTGTAGCCTTTAAGAGGTGATTCGTTCAGGAGGTACCATCCTCATGAATATATTAATGTTGCTGTCATGGGAATGGATTTTTACAGGACCAGGGTCATTAAGAAACTCAGGAACTCACTTGCTCACTCTGATGACACAGCACAAGGCCTTGCCAAATGCACTTGCCTCATCTCAGACTTCCAGCCCTGAAGAACATAAGCCAAACTAACTCCATTCATTATAATTTATCTAGTCTCAGGCTAGAGAGATGATTCAGCAGTTAAGAGCACTGACGGCTCTTGCAAAGAACCTGGGTTGGATTCCCAGCACCCACATAGCACCTAACAACCGTCCGTAACTCCAGTTTCAGAAGACTGCTGCAACACCTTCTAACCTCCGTGGGCCTTGAACAATATGGGTGCACTTGCACACATGTGGGCAATACATTCATACACATAAGATAAAAATAATAAGTAAAATATATATTTTAAATCATAGTAATTTATCTAG